TGGGCCTTTTTTCTGTCTTCAAGATTGAGATCTCTGAACACAGCAAGTATATAAGGACCTTAGGAATTTATTTGAACCCTGTTCCTTTGATAAGACTTAATTAGCAGGAAAATCTTGTTTTGTTTGTTTGTTTGTTTTGACTTTCTCTTCTCTCTCTCTGCTACATTTGTTCCACCTCCAGCTATGACTAGGTATGCAATCCTGGTGGTAAAGCATTTCCCCACATGGACCTATGGTATGATGATATAAGTTCAAGCCCTGCTCTGGACCTGCACACAAGAATATTGCCATTCAGCCTGTTGGTAAATTGGGACCTGGTGTCTATTGAGCTGGAGAGACATAGGCAGCCAGACATCACACCTATCGCATCACTCCCTCGTGTGCTGCTGGATACAACAATTGTCCTGCCTCAGTGAAACCAAACCAACACAGCCTGTAAGTGCAGAACCAGGCCTTGACTCTCAAAAATGACCCGGTGAAAAAGAAATCTGTGGGGCCCCACTTTCTCTGGGATTCATACATCTTCATTGTCTCTTAACCACTCCAGGTCAGAAGAGAAGGCATTTGCATTTCTAATTCCTGGTCCTCCAAACACCCCTGGTATCTGAGAATCAAGCTGAGCACTTCCTCACTCACTGCCACCACTAACCGGGTACTACAGGGGAAATGTTACCCTCAGAAACGTCTGTGCAAGAGCTATGGTGCCTATCTTGTGGATGGGTGGTTCAGGACAGAATTACACAGCAAGCAACTACCCTGCTGATGACATACAGGCAGAAAGGAAGTCTGCCTCTGAGCTGTGGTAGCACTACAGGGTAAGCAGGAATGGAAACCAGCAACTGTGCTTCTTGTATCTTGATTCTGAACTGACTTTGGGTACCTGTCTGTTGGGCAGGGAGACCATTTTGAAAACCACATCCCCTCCTAATTATGCTTCCTATTTTCATGCTCACATTGAATGAAGAGAGCAGAAAGGGCCCAAGATGCTTCTTATTTGGTGGTTCTCAGACTTTACTCAAGTTGCCCCTCAGGGAATACCAGCTCTTTGCTTTCATTTATTTTTAAGTAGTCAAACTACCCTTCCTTCGCAAAGAACTCAGACTGCAACAGGTCCGAATGTTCTCGACGCTATGGATTCCTATTGATAATCTCTAGGTTTATCTTGTGAATCATGTGCAGGTCTTTGCACCCTGCAGTGCACTTAAAAGGATCTCAAGGCACCCAAGGATGCCACAGAAGCCTGGTTGAGAATCACTGCTCTAATCCCTCTGGGGTCAGAAATCTTATCAGGAGACCAAACCCTATTTCGTGAAGCCTCTCAGTCCAATGTGCCTTGGGTCTTTGGCAAACCTGATGCTCAGTTCCTTCCCAGAGATCATAACTGGGTTTGAATTGTCAGCTGCAGCCCTGCCTATGGGTTCTGGTCCTGATGCAGAGCAGTGTAAGAGGAGAAGTTGTTCCTCCCAGGCTGGCGGTCCCTGCTGGATCATCTTTCTGACCCACAACTGTGGTTCCATTCGTGGAACAAGACTGACTCACTGATGCAGAAAAGAGGAACCCATATAAGCAAACAATGTTTCTGGGGAAAAAAATCCCCAGTGAATATGGAGATAAACAGGGCTTCCCCTTGGCTGAGGGAGAGGGGATTGTTGCAAAAAGGGGTTCAGATATACATCTCATCCATTCTGCTTGAAGTCTCCCACCTATTCCCCACTCTGTAATCTGTGCCCAAGGGGATGACTGATCACCCATAATTCCTCCTCCCCACATCCCACCTTTGACAGGTGCCTTCTCTCCCAGGCCCCAAACAGTCCCTTCTTTTCCCAACTTTGTACGTTTCTTGAGATTATTTTACTGCCATTTCACTAATATCCCCAACCTGCCCCAGGGTACCACTGGACCTCTCCCCAGATTGATATTCCAGTCTGCCCTTGATCAGCCTACCTAACCCAAACCTACCCAGCTCTTTCCTGCTAGAACCATATTCTCAACTGGACAAAAGCCTTTTTTCCTCACTCCATGTATTCAGTGACTCAGTGCTTCTCTCTTCCTTCCTGCCAACTCAGGAGAGATCTCCCCACCCTGGTTACCTGCCAAAAATCTCCCCCTACTTAGAGGCATCCTGATTTATTTTTTAATTATGAAAATTAAGGTATCACCTGAAAGCTCCAGTCAGGATTCGTGCCTGCTTTATAATGGGCACTGAACAGAGGGTAACATAGGAAACTGTTAGCAGAGAAAAGGAAAAGGGGATAAAAACCCCCAGCATGGTTGGAAGGGAGAGGAAAACAGAAAGACCCTAAAGTCTGAAGAGCTGGAGCCTGTTACAAGGCTCCCTGAAATTAATGTTGGTCTTGATTTCAAAAGACTCTGGCTTGGAGGCCTTTGGGTGTGTGAAGCCCTTCCTGGATAGGAATCTTTGCCTAGCATGGTTCTTGTCTTGCTTTTCTTTCCTCCTTCTCCTTTTTCAATGTATCTCTCTGTCTTACTCCTGCAATCTGCTATGGTCCCAGTGCCTCAGTTGAGCAGGACTGGGCCCCAGGGACAGCTGTGATGCCTTCTGGTGGCCACCCAACTCCTGGGTCAAAACTTCCCTGAACAACTCCCCCCTAGCTCCTTGCTTGCAGCTTTTTTTTGGGACAGCTTCAGTGCCAATCAGTCCCTCTTCTGGAGCCACCCTGCTCAGGCCCAGGCACTAATCTTGGGCACTGGCCTTATGTGCCTTAAGAGGCCCAGCCTTTCCAGTTGGTAGGCTCTTCAGCTGCCTGCAGGGGTTTCCATTTAGGCAGTGCTGCAGCAAAGGCGGGGGTGCCGAAGCAAAGGGGTGCCAACAGGTGCTGCCCAACTGGGGTGTGCAGGATGGAGCCGCAAGCGACTCATTTGGGGGAGCTCAGGGAAGGGCAGCTCCTGCCACTGTGTGTATTCCCAGGCAAGCATAGGGGGTTGTGCCCCCCAGATCTATGCATGGGGCGAGGGCAGGCTGCCACTGTGGGCTTTGCCTCAGGTGCCAAACTTCCTTTCCATGGTACTGCATTTAGATCAGATGTCCAACCTGCCTTCCTCCATTGGATCTTGACTCATCTGCTTTCAGTTATTATTTCTGTGCTGCCTGGAGGTCTGCTCCTGGACTGCTTATTGTGGTGCAGCTAGCTCCTGGGGTAGTCCTGGTTGTTAATGGCCTGCTAGCTTCCCAGAAGCCAGCCCTTGCTTAGGTGCTAGTCCCACCTAGCAGGCTTAGCTTGCTTTGGCATCCTCTGACTCCCTGTTACACTCAAGGACAGAAGGACAGTCACCCATTGTTTACAATGCCTGTCCCTTGAGGGTAGGAGCAGAACAATGTTCCATTACAAGTGTAGACATGGACATGTCACATCCAACATTTTTTAGCAGAAGGGACAAACCAGGGCTGCTCTTAGCTCATGTTCAGCAGCCAGGAAAGTTAAGCAATGTTCTGTGCTGGGTCACTTGCATCTTTTGCTGGCATGAGTCAAAGGGTAATTTTGCAAGTGCAGATGAAGCAGTGGAGTCAGCCACAGACTGCTAGAGTCAGAAAGAAAGACTCAGAGAAAAGAAGAGGAGAGCAAGGAAACTAAGAAGTAGAAAAGGCACACAGAGATGGAAAGAGAGAGAAACAGGGCTAGAACAACAAGGGAAGGAAAATAATATCCTAGTGGGCTGCCCTGTCATTGCGGAGAAGAGAGTGTAACTTCCTTCTTAACTATTCAATTCCTGTTCCTTTTTTTTAACTCTTGGATTTGCAGAAAGCTGTATGTGCTTTCCTGGGTTCAGAAGCACCAGAGCTGCTCAGGGCATTTTTGGCATCTGAGTATTTGCCAGGTAGTCTCAAGGCTTCCAACTCCTCCGCTGGCCAGGAGAGTGTCCCACAGTAGTAAGAGTCACTCCAAGCTCCACCAAACAGAAAGGCCAGCTGTGAATGTGACCAGACTACAAGGAAAGAAAACCCCAAGGGTCACTGACCAGTCTCTGGATGGCATCGGAGATAACCTATGCTGAGGTGAAGTTCAAGGACACACTGCTCCCTGTAGAGGCCGAAGGTAAATTCATGGCTGTTCAGGGGGATGGGGCTGAGGGTTTGTGTAGTGGTTTATGGAGTCTTCTAATTCTATGGGGCTGTTTCCAGTCCAGCCTCAGGACAATGGAAACTCAGGGAATAGACTGTGGGGCCTGACACCTCAAGGCAGCACTTCTTTCCTGGTGCTAAGAAAATGCTGATAAAGGCAAACTTTTCTCCAACACCTGAGAAGCAAATCTGGGGGATTTTTTATGGTGGAAGGGAGTAAGAAGAAAATTATGGATCTGAAAGATTGATACAGAGGGGGCCACCTCTAGATGATACACATAAGGTTACATGGTAAACAAGGTGAAAAAGGGTAGATGGAGGAATTAGAGCAATACCTGTGACTAGCTAACAAAGAGAAGTAAGATATTACTGGTGTCTGTGCCCTTCACAATGTTGATGGCAGAGCTGCAGGGACCCTTCATGGGCAGCATCAACATTGCCTAACAGTGCTAGGTCAGCGGCAGTAGAGGTAACATCTCTACATAGTGCTGCTGCCTTTGTTCAGAGGCTGGGCAGCTTCATCAGCATCTCTGGGTGCTAGGTAAGAGGAGTCCTAACCAAGATCTGGTTTTATCATGGTGTCTTGTCCCCTGGACCCTCAACATAGCACTGGCTGTCAAGGGGTGGAGATGATGTTGGGTGGGTGAGGGAATGCACTGGGAGAAGAAGGGACCGAAGTCTACCAAGGAGAGATGGGGTTGAACAGAACACCCTGAGATTTGGAAGGGAAGAAGTAGTCATGATTTGGAACATGACCCAATTTTGTGCTCCGTTTTTTCTCCTGAAGAAGAATTAATGTTTAGGAGCCAAATTATTGCTGCCAACCAAAGTAACGTGGATACAGATGTCAATTTATAGAACACTTAGCCAAAAGGAGACATATTCCCTGCTCCAGGCATGTTACAGGCTAACAGGCAAGCTCCCTGTTCTGAGCATGGCTCAATCTGTATTAAATGTGTCAACAATGGCGTGGCAAAAAACAGCAATTCAGCAATGGGCATGTGTGCAGATAGTGATTCCTCTGCCTGGTGACCTTAGACCCCAAGAAGCATGACCTTGTAGACACTACAGCCCCAGGGTCCAGAAGGGCCATGAATTTGTATTTTGTGCTGTCAAAGGTGTTTGTAAACTGACTCTGCAGCTCCAGCTTTAGATTACAAACTGTCCCAGCTCTACAGGGAGCTGCTTAGGGTCTGGCCTCCCCTCCAGAGAATGAGTAATGCAAGCCTGAAGGGTATGACTGACTCAGGGACCCTGGCTGCCCCTGAGGATGGGATGAGCTTTCTCGGGTGATCTGGCTGCCCTCATCCATCAAGATGAGCCAGTGACAGCTTAATATCTTCCCATATCTTGTTCCAAAGAGGTCTGATGAGTCTGCATGTGCTCACGCAGATGGTGCCACATGTGCCCTGTGGGCTTCCTGTGCTTATTCATACCCAGCTGTTGGTGATGTGGTGCATGCATCCAAGTGACTCTAGTCTGGCTGTGGCTTGTTGCTTTGAGAGAGCAGCAGAGCTAGCCCCAGACCCTGTATACCTTGTACTGTCACCTCTAGAGGAGATGGAGAAGGACTTGAATATTAAGTATTGAACAGTGGGACCAGGGCCAGACCAAGGAGAAGTGTGGCAGCATGGTCACAGCCCTTATTAGCTGTGCACCGCATTCACAGGGTTCACTAACTGGTTGCACGGGCTCATGCCAGAGCCAGTGCTTTCACAGGGGTCTAGGGCCCAGGGGTTGGGCTTTGGGCTCCAGAGCTGCACAAAACCAGTGGCTCCAGCAGGACCCTGCTCCAAACAGCTGTTAAGCTTAGATAGATCCTTGAATAGACAGAGATCTGCATTGGGCATACTCAACACAGCTGGAGAGGGTGTGGCTGCACCCACTTAACCCTCTCCTGGGTCCACCCATGCATGTGACATTTACTGTTGTGGCAATCATGAGGAACTGCTAGGGCCATGTTGGTCACGGTAGTGGTGAACAAAGGTGACCACAGACTGCCTACAGTCTTGTCCCTTACCTTGAGTTCCCTGATTATCTTATATGGGCAAATCTATTATCTTTTCTGGTTATGTACAGGGAATAGGGAGATGTCTGAGTGCTCTTAAGGCAATCCTATTCCTTTAACAGGTGACTTACATGCCCAGGAAGGGGTATAGAATTAATTTCTCCTACACAATAATCAGATAACTCAGAGTAGGTCAAAAGTTGCACTTTGGTCATCAATTAAGTAAAATAGGATTCTGCTTAGTGAAGCTATGTAGTAAAAGAGAGAGAAAGAGACTGAGAAAAACAGGGACGGGAACGATCCTTGAGCAAGCACTATTTTATCACTGGAATGGGCCAGGAAGGACTGGAACTGGGTTTTTAAAATCCTCCCTGGGGAGGGGCCCCTTGCCATGCCTTGCAGGATTCAGACATAGGCATGACCACATGCTTCCAGGAACTGAGTCTGGGCTTTGACTGTCACGGCTGGTCAGCAGGAAGATGTATGGCTATGCGGGAAATGAAACCAGTTCCTTTCTTTGAATGTTAGCGGGGAGGTTGCCCAAACCAGTTTTCCATAAAAGCAGTGTTTCAGTGGAAAATGTCTATCCAGTCCTGATAGCTGTCAGTACACTCACTGTGTGCTCTAGGAGTAACACATGTGTTCCCAGCAGAGCACACTCCTGGGCCCCTGACTGTGCATAGCCCCATCTGTCTCCTGGCAGCTGTTTCTGCTGCTTGGGGAATCAAGGATTTTGCACAAGGAAAACACCAATTTCTCTCTGGATTTGAACTAGCACAATAATGGCAGCCCTCCTTGTTCCCTCCATCCTACAGCAGTGAAGGCTTGTTTCCTTTCCCCTCCCTGACACTCCATGCTCTTATGTCCACCTCCATACTCCTTGCTGCCACCTGAAAAAGCCACTCTTCCAAGGGGATGGTCACCTCTCCTTCCCTCTCAGAGTGTGTCCCACTCCCTTCCCTCCTCCTACAGCTCCTTGGTTATGCTGCAGTGTCGCTCACTGTAGACACCAGACAGGCCCCAGCTCCCCATTGGAGGTTGTTTCCCTCTAGTGGACAGGGCTGATCTGAGCAGAACTGACTGGTGTTGTCTTGGGGGTTTCTTCAAAATTAGCACCTCCAGAGAAGAGCACATCTCAGCGTGAACCCTGCAAACCCAAACTATGGGTCCCATGGTTGGTCTCAGCCCTTTTGCTGTTGCTGTGTGTTGCGCTCATCATCGCTCTTATTGGTAAGTGTACATGGACTGACGGATTATCTAGAGAGAAAAGGTAAGTGTTTGGGGAGAGCTCTTGAGGGAAGAAAGCAGGGAGTAAATGAATAAATTGGATCCAAGAGTATAATAGCCTGCTGGATAATTTGGGAATGTTCCTGACAGGGAGTGGGCCTGGGGGTCTGTCAGATTGGGAAAAACTCATCATGCAAACAAGTGGGCATCCAAATATTTGGGCCTGGTGAAAAAGTCTGAGGAATAGTATACGGGGCCCAGTCTCTTTTTCCCGACAAAGGGTAGAAGAAGGAAGAAATGGGCCAAATTAGACCTTGGTAGCTGGTGTCACGGGAAGAGCACATTTGGGATATCAGAGTAGGCTTGGGCAGTGGAAGGAGGTGCATGGTGTGTAGGGGATTGACCTAGAGGACTGTGGCTGCAAAGGAGTGTAATGGTTTATAGAGATCTAGATACAATAGATAGAGGAACATCAGGGAACCAGGTTAGGGGCTGTGGATGGCTCTGGGGTGGGGTTCAGGGTCTTTCATCCTCTGGGTACTGGTTCCACTTTGGCACTGGCTCATGGAGCCAGGGCAGCTCAGGGGAAGTGGAGTACAGAGCCATTTGCCTCTAAAACATCAGTTCCTGGACAGGCTTTCCAATTTCTCATAGCATCTTCCCTAAGAGCCAAAGTTCTCTGCACCTGTCCAAGGCACATGTCTTCCCTGGTAGAAGCATAACTGGTAAGGTTTGTGTCCTGGGCAGCTGCTGCAGGGACAGGTATTGGCACATCCAGCAGCCAAGACGTTAATGCAGCAGCTACCGGGTGTATTGACTGGCTCAACCTGTATTGCATTCACATTGTGACTCACCTGCATCACCCTAGCCATCACCCCAGCCAGTGGCTGCAGTAGGGGGCTGCATTGACCCCCTGGCTTCTGGCTATAACCATCCCTTACTGGAAACTGGGGCTGATAAGGAGATTAGGGACAGAGTGCTGGTGATTATAGGCACTAGTAACAAGGGGCAATCCTGGATTTGGCAGCACAACAAAGCAATTGTCTTTTGAGTCCATTCTAGCACTGCCTTTATGTCGGCTTGTGCTCTGGTTGCCCACACTTAGTCTGCTCTTGCTCCCTGGGGGCCAACTATCCAGTCCTGCAGGGTTCTGGACTAAGTGTCAGTATAGAGTGCTGTTGAGTACTGTTGTGCACTGTTTCACAAGTGTTTTTGTTCCCTCTTCTCATCCAAGCTGCATTCAGTGGTCGGAGACATGTTTTTTGTTGATTCTGAAGCCAAGAGGGACATTTAGACAAGTGTGTCTCAACCCATGGGTCATGACCCAAAAGTGGGTTGCAAGAATTTATGAAAGGGTTGCGAACAAACTTTAAAAATGAATTCTCCTTCAAAAGAGAAAAATGTGGGAAACTGTGGCTTTTCCTCTGCAGGCTGTCAGAGTTCCAGCTTGCAAGGGGCTGCTTAGAGCCCCCCATGCCCTACGCCTTCTGCTGCCCCCTCCCATACATACTGGGTGGGGTTAGGGCCTGGGGGTGAGGGCATTGGGTCAGGACTGACCACTGATGTTTACAAATGGGTCCTGGTAGAAAAAAGATTGAGGACCACTGCTTTAGATTATGTTATCTGACAGAAGGCCGTGGAGTCTTGCTCAGTTGCTCCTGTAGTGAGCCCAGTATAACAAAGGCGATTGAGCCACATCTTCCAGAAAAGCTTCCAGGCTTGATTTGAAGACTTTGGGCAAAGCCAGAAGTGATAGTTTTTGAGCGATCAGGCCCCTGAAAGCACTCTGTAGCCATGACTTAACACACATGCACAGCTGGAGAGTGTTTTAAAAATGTCTGATTGTGCGAAAAATTAACCCTGGTTAGATCAGGTATTACATAAAGATGTCAAAAGCAGAATACATTACGGAACTTGGGTTCCCTTCAAGGTTAATTATTCACCTGGGGGTAGGGGCTGTGCTGATGCCCAGCTTTACCCCCTGGGCTGTCAGGGGGAAGAAGAGGGAGCTGCTGTCTGCTGAATGGCCAGAGGTGTGAGGGAAGGGGATGGAATGGAGCCCCCTTGCCTCGTGGCCCCCCCAATCAGTGGTCCAGCAATATACTCAGCTAACTCTTTTTTAAGACTTTAGGTACAAGTTGTCCGAGGCTGTGGAGTTAAGCTAGATTGGATAGCAGCTCATTATAGTTGTGTAAAATAAATGCGTCACCCTGCTTGTTTCCAAATACAGAACAGAAATATTGATTGTATACTTCTGCCTGTAGTATATTGTTACTGACAATTTACTGCCTACATCTACACCTGTTTATGGGATTTACTGGTATGTCTTTTGATCCCGAGACCCTTAAAAAAAATTCTTTGGTGTTGTCCTGAGCCCTGTCCACTATGGATTTTTGTCCTGTTGTTTTCCTTTGTCCTTCCCTAATAAGTTTTTCTTATTATTGTTCTGCTGATTACAATTTTTAATATTGATTACTATCTGTTTCCCCATTTTTTTTTCTTTTTGCTGTACAATACTTTTGATATCTAATTCCTGCTGTCATTTTGCCATTAAATTAGGCTGGGTTTTTAAGCAAAGTTGTCTTCTTTCTTTTGACCTCACGCCATCTAAAACCCTTCTTAAACATCTGACACATTTCATTAAGACGTTTCTAAATTTTCCCATATGTTTAAAACTGCTGATATATTTCACGGGCTTTAGGAAATTAGCACTTTGGGAGAAACATGGATATTAATTTGCTCATAATGAATATAATCAGGTCAGGGTCACTGGACCCTATGTCATCATCAGTTCTTTCGTCCAGTGAGTGTCTTATCTTTATCCATAATAAAGTCTATAGTACCTTCATCCTATGATTGTAGTCGTATGTTTTGTACTGTGAAAAAAATGATCCTCTATATATTTTGAGCTCATTAAAATCATCACTAGAGCTGTTGCTTGGTCACACCCAGTTTCATATGGGTGTCACACCTTTTTCCTTTCTTGATTGAGATTCATGCGTATATAATTATACAGTTGCTCCCCACAAGCAGGAGGGAGGTCCAGGAACATGTCTGCTGACATTGTAAATTGATAAAGAGCCCAAAGAAGTGTGTGCATGGGAGGGGGAAGGGGCACTGAGGAAGAGGCATTTCTTGCCAGAAGACGAAGAAACTGGGTTGTTCACATGAGAAGGGGGAGAAGAATATTGTACTCACTTTTTTCCTCTTTTTTTCCAGTTATCCTCCATAAAGCTCACGGACTGCCCAAGAATTTTCCAGAGTGGCAGTGTGCCCTGGGGACACCTGGGAGCAAAGGTCAGTCAGTATGTAAAAGAAAGAGGGCAAGTGGGGAATTATCCCCAGTATCAGCATTTAGGGGTGGGGGCCTGAGTCACACCCAGTACTTGACTGACAGCTGTTATAGGATGCTGGGGAGACTGACTTACTAAGGAAGGTGAGCTCAGGATGAGGTTTATGCACACTTAGTGAAGCGTAAGGAAAAAAAAGTGCCACTGTACTGTCAGCTAGCAGGACAGAGAAGGTTTATTGTAGCTGAGAGATGGATAAAGGGGACAAGAGTTGGGGAGAACAAGACATTTGCTAACACCCTGGCCTGTTAGACAGTGGACAAGTCTGTCTCTTGACTGTTTGCTAAAGGAAATGCTCAGAAGCCCAAACTGATCAGAGTCAGTTTATTGACTATGACAGGTGTGTCAAACATACAGCCCATGGGCCGGATTTGGCCTGCCAGAGTCTTATAATCCAGCCCCTGGTGCTTGCCCAGTTGGCCCACATGGTGCACTGGACTGGCCCTGCACACAGTGCCTGGGACATGTGCTGCCCATGGCACTTACTCAGGCCAGGTTGCCACATGTGCTAGAAAAGGCAGGTAGGCAGGTGATCCATGGGCCTGATCCAGCCTGTGTACCAGCCCCACACTACTCATGGGGCCAGATGAGTCTGACACCCCTGGACTATAAGAATTAAGAATATAATAATGAGCATCACAGGCAAAACATTGGCCATCTTTTCATCTGTACCAACATGTCAATGTAGCAGGCTTAATGTATCAACAGAATACCCCAATTCATATAGCTTGCTTGTCTGTCTGTCTGTCTTATTAACTAACAGGGTACTTCAGGCATCAACAATTATTTATTTCTGTATATTTATTAACACCTAGCAGAGTAGCTTCTAATTTCTTTTTCAACAAAGTGCTCCAGATACTGAGTAAACGAAGACACTCAGTCCCAACCAGGCCCAGGAAAAGAAGATGTGCCTTTTAGACATTTATTGAATGTCCTGTGTTTTCAGTATGCATTACTCCTGCTATTATAATGAGGTTTTAAAGTAGTATAACTAAAAGAATCCTCGGACGTAGACTTGACTTAGAACTTGGATGGAGAGTTCAATAGATAGAAGACAGACAGATAATTATTAATGTATCAGTGTATGCTATTAAAACAACAGCTCATGAGTATAAAAAATATAGATACCATATGAAATCACCATGCCTAAAGAAAGGGGTGGAAACCACATTACCAGAGGCTCTGTGGCTTTGTCTAGATGAGGATCTGAAAGCACATTAACTAACCTGTGTTAACCTAGTTTGGATTTCTGCCTGTGTTAGAGAACAGGTTCGACCAACACATCCTTTCTGCCAGTCTAGACAATGGTGTAGAGGCAGGAGATATTCAAGCTGTTCAGAATAAGTGGTAGAAAACAAGTTGCAAAGGGATGAAGAAGAGGCAGCCCAGCAGGGGTTTCCCACCTACACTACAAGGAATATTACTGCATTTTGCATTCTCCCTCCTCCCAGCGGGGACCTGGACATGCTGCCCCATGAGCTGGAAGCCCTTTCGAGCCAACTGCTACTACTTGTCCAGTGATAGCATGTCCTGGGATGAAAGTGAGAAGAACTGCACAGGGATGGGCTCCCACCTGGTGGTGATCAACACACAGGCTGAGCAGGTATCTCGTGTGTGTTGGGGGGAGGGATGGGGATCTCCCCTGGGAGTTCACAGCCAGCCTGGGTGGGACCTGTGGCGGG